AGGGTTTTCCATCACATTCCTGACTTATGCCTTGCAGATAGTGGATAGGCTTTGGGGATTTAGCAGGTGAGTTACTCACTGCAGGATTCCTAGCCTCTGACTTGGTCTTGTATTTATATGGTTAGTTAAGTTCAGTTTCTGGTCAGTAGTAAATTCCATGATGTAGATAATGGGGCTTCAGTAATGCTATTGAAAGTCAAGAGATGACGGTTAGATTATTTTTTGTTGGAAGTGGACATTGCCTGGTGCTTGTGTGGAATTAATGTTATTTGCTAATTATCAGCCCAATTCTGGATACTATCTGTGTCTTGGTGCATTTCAACATGGACTGCTTCAGTATCTGAGGAGTCACGAATGGTGCTGTGTATTGAACAAGCATCTTGTGTTTTCCTATTTTGTTGGTTTTGCAATGACAAATGTTCTGCGCAATGTCCATCTCTTGTCGTTTGAAGCCAGAAACGTGTCATGCAATATTTAATGGCTCAGTGGGGAATCGGGGCTTCCCAGGCTGCGAGCCTAACCCTCAGTTGGGTCATCAGCTGAGATTTGCAATGACTGCTGTGCAGCCTTGATCAATTTCTTGATAGTTGTGAAGCCTATTCCAATGCTGGCATTCTTTCTTAGTCGGTGAGTGTGTCTCATGGACTGGTCTGCACAGCCCCATTGCTGCTGCTGCAAAAAAAGGCCCATGGTTAGGTGGTCACTCATCATTTTTGGAGAAACTGTATGTTTTTATAAATAGCATCTCACCAATTGCTGAACACCAGTTCTCCTGACCACCGCCACCTCCCATCGGTACTGTCCACCTATGACCAATAACTAGAGTATCTCTCGCTCTGCTCAATGAATGAAGACACCCTCACATCACTCAATAATTATTGTACTCTCCCCAGATTCTAACTATGGGCTCACATGAAGTCATTAGTTTAGTTGGAAAACTTTGGAAGGAATGCCCTCATTTCTGAATCAAATCAGTTGTAGGTTCATGTCCAACTCTAGAAACTTGAGCGTGTTATCGAAAATGATATTAAAGAGCTGGATGGGTGCAGCTCCAACAATACTCAAGAAGTCAGAAGTCACATGACTTGTTGGACTATAGCCTGGTGTTGTGTGAATTCTGACTTTGTCCACCCCAGTCCAACACCAGAACCTCCACATTATGAATACTCAAGAGGGACATTGGTGAAACTTCTCCTGGAGTTCTGTGTCCAGTTCTGGTTGCCCTGTTATATTATTAAACAGGAGAGGGTTCAGAAAAGATTTAGCAGGGCGTTGCTGGGAATGCAGCATTTAAGTTACAAGGAGAAGCTGCATAGGCTGGGACGTTTTTCACTGGAGCGTAAGGGTTGAGGGGTGACTTTGCAGAGGTTTATAAAATCATGAGGGGGATAGATAAGGTGAATAGCAGGTGTGTCTTCCCTAGGATGGGGAATTTCGAGACTAGGGGACATATTTTTAAGGTGAGAGGAGAAAGATTTAAAAAAGACATGACAGGCAACTTTTTTATACAGCAAGTGGTTCATGCGTGGAATGTGCTTCCAGAGGAAGTGGTGGATGCGGGTACAATTACAACATTTAAATTTGGATAAGTACATGAATAAGAAATGTTTGGAGGAATATGGGCCAAGCGCAGGCAGGTGGGACTAGGTTAGTTTGAGATTATGGTCAGCATGGACTGGTTCTGTTCCCATGCATACTCTATGACTCTTTAAGCTGAACAAGACCCAGAACAAAGCAGCCCACTTGACTGGCACAATATCAAACACCTTTAGCAGGCATTCCTTTACCCACTGGCACACAGTGGTAGCAGTATGTACTATCTAGAAATGTACTGCAGTAACTCACCCAGCTTCCTTCAAGCGCATCTTCCAAACTCGCATTCTCTATAACCTAGAAGGCCATGAGCAGCAAATGCATTGGAATACCATCTGCAAGTTTCTCTCCAAACTGCTCACTATCCTGACTTGAAAATACATTGCTTCACTGTCGCTGGGTCAAAATCTTGGAATTCCCCTTAAGGGCATTGTGAGTCTGCCTACAGCGCGTGGACTGCAGCGGTTCAAGAAGGCAACTCACCATCACTTCTTCATGAGCAAACAGGGATGGGCCCAGCCAGTCAGGCCCACATCCCATGACTGAATGTGAAATAAAAAATCAGAGCTAGCAAGACCTGCAGCTGCTGGAGTCAGAGATAACACAGTGTGTAGCTGGGGGAACACAGCAGGCCCGGCAGCATCAGAGGAGAAGGAAAGTGACGTTTTGGGTCTTCAGAAAATCAGATGGTTTACTGAGGCAATGCTATACCCTGACAAGTGCTGACGTAATGATGAGCTATTAAACTGAGGCCCAATGTCCTCTCAGGTTCACAGAAAAGATCCTACAATGCCCTCTTTCCAGACATAATAGTTACACACTTCTTCAGAATTCTTCATAGGCTGTTCTGAAGAAGAGTCATACCAGACTCCAAACATTAAACTCTGTTTCTCTCTCCACAGATTCTGCCAGACCTGCTGAGCTGCTCTAGCATTCCCTGTTCTGAGGAAGGGTCACCGGACCCGAAACGTTAACTCTGTTTTCTCGTCCACAGATGCTGCCAGACCTGCTGTGCTTTTCCAGCAACTGTTTTTGTTCCTAGCATTCCCTGAGCTTGTTTCAGATTTTCAGCATTTGCCATACTTCGCTTTTATTTTTGTTTCAGAATCATGTAGTACAGAAAAGGCCCTTCAGCCCATCAAGTCTGTACCTTCCAAATTAGACCATTGCCTGTACTAGTTCCACACTCTCGCATTAGGCCCATTACCTTGAATGTTATGATATTTCGAGCTCTCACCCAAGTACCTTTTAAAGGTTGTGAGCTTTTATACCTTAACTACCCTCCCAGGCAGTGCATTCCAGACGCCCACCACTCTCTGGGTGAACAATGTTTCTTCAAAGGTGAAAACAACAAATGCTGGAGATCACAGCAGGTCAGGCAGTGTCTGCGGAGAGACAAGAAGATAACGTTTCAAGTCTAGATGACTCTTCATCAGAGCTCAATCTCTTTTGTTTTCAGCACAGATTCCAGCATCTGCAATAATTTGCTCCTGCAATGATTCTTTTCAAACTCCTCTCGCTTTCACTTTTAAATTATGTCCCCTTATTAAGAGGAACAGCTGCTTTCTATTCAACCTGTCCATGTCTCTCATAATTTTACACATCTATCTCGGGTGTCCCTCTTAACCTTTTCCCCACCAAAGAAAGCACCCAAGCTTATCCAGCCTTCTCTTCATAGGAGGTATTTGAAGTTACAATGGTGGGGGCAGGAGTTGAGTGTTTGAAAATTGACCGTCATATTCTCTGCATCACAACAGCGACTACACTTCAAAAGCATCGTGCTGGCTGTAGAAGGCTCTGCCCTAAGGTTGCGAGAGGTGCTATGCAAATGCACATTCTGCCCATCCAACTTAGAAAATGCAACACTCACTACATCCTCATTCGTGCTAGTGTCTCGGTTCGCCCTGCACAATTTATCTGTAGGATAAACCCTCAATTCCGCGCCCCCTCCATCCCATCCTTTCACTGGAAAGTATCAAATAAAATAGAGCTTGACATTATATCATAATCGAATCAGCTGGTGTCGTATCTTCTTGTTACCTGCGTGCTTCCCAATCAAATAAAGGTCTTTGTTTTCTTGCTGATGTAAACTGAAGTCCCAGTTAAAAATCATGGCAATATCTTGGGAAAAACAACAGTCCGTTGGAGCAGGAGCTCCAGTTCTCCCAGCAGTAGCAGACTGTATAGTTAGTTGCATGCACGACAGGACCCGCGCCTAAGAACTGAACCGACCTGTAATCGCTGCATCAAAGACACAGAACACGATGCACAGAAGGCTGCTTCTCAAAAAGAGATCGAGCTAATCATTTTTTTTTTGGGTGGAAAGGTATTGTGCTGGTTTATACAGTTGCTGCATTTAATCTCCCTCCAGGTCCCCTCTGCGCACACACACACACCCCCAGTGGTCCCACCTCACATCCAAAAACCATTCTAAAAAGCCCCAAGTGATGAGATACCCGCTTTGCAACTTGTCATCGCCAAGATAAAGATAAAGGGTTGCTGACATTCATCTGTGTGTTACGGTTTGGACAAGTGAGCCATTGGTGGGGGGGGGGGACAGTTGTAATTACATCCATAACTTAGATACTGATTATGTTAGGGTGATGTGCGTTGGGGAGGGGGGGGGGGGGGAGGTGGAGTGGATCCCTGTTTGGTACGAACTGATTGATCGCGGGTGGAGCTGTGGATGGTTGGAGGATGGGGGAGGAGAGACTTCAGCCATTGGTGGGTTGGAAGTCGGGGGTGGGGGGGAACGAAGTGATGGGCAGGGTGTCTGACCAGTTGGAAGAGGGTAGTGGGCAGAGGGGCGGTCCGATTGGAGAGATTTGCGGGGGGGAGGGAGATCGAGTCGCTCTCTGGGACAACCTGGAGTTCCAGAGGGAAGGGCTCAGTGTGTGAGTGTGTGAGTGAGAGGGAGGGAGGGTGAGTGAAGGTACAGGAGACAGACAGTGTGGGCTGTACCTAAAGGGGCTGGAGACCAACTGACCACCCCCCCCACCCACCCACCCCTCTCCATCCACCCCACCATCCATCCACACAGTTTAAACGAGATGACCGCGGGATTTAAGTGATCTGGAGCGGATTTCGCCAATGGATCTGCTGGGGATTGCAGGATGTGTCCTCCTCCTGACCTAGCACAAAGGATTTTGGCCCCTGAGAGTGGGGGTAATGTTTTTATCAATGCATGCAGTTACCAAGGGGGAGGCGAGGAAGGAAAGCAGAGAAGCATAAAAAGTGGAGATAGGTAGAGAGAGAGACAGAGAGAGAGACGAGACAGAGACAGAGAGATAGAGACAGAGAGAGAGACAGAGACGAGACAGAGACAGAGAGATAGAGACCCAGAGAGAGACAGACAGAGAGACAGAGAGAGAGACAGAGAGAGAGAGACAGAGAGGGACAGAGAGAGAGATAGAGAGGGACAGAGAGATAGAGAGGGACAGAGAGGGACAGAGAGACAGACAGAGAGAGAGAGTGTGTTTGGTCGGGGCTGCAATCCAACTCTTCAGAGAGAGAGGAAGAGGAGCGGGATGACAGTTTGGGAATTGGATCCAGAGCCATGAGGAGAAGGGGAGGTGAGGACCACCTCGCCTTTGGCCCGGGGCCGTGCCCGCTTGCCCGGCTCTTACCCTGCGGACTGTGAGAGACGGAGATGGGGGCGGTCAACGCCACCGCCTTCAATACTTCCCAGTGGCCGGAGGCCGGAGGTGGGGCTGGCCAGTACTCGGCCGGAGCTGTGGCCGGCTTGTCGGCTCTGGTAGGCTTCCTGATCCTGTTCACGATCGCGGGCAACACACTGGTGGTGATCGCGGTGTTGACGAGCCGGGCTCTCAGGGCACCCCAGAACCTGTTCCTGGTGTCCTTGGCCAGCGCGGACATCCTGGTGGCCGCTTTGGTGATGCCCTTCTCGCTGGCCAACGAGCTGATGGGCTACTGGTACTTCGGGTCGGTCTGGTGCGATGTCTACCTGGCTCTGGATGTCTTGTTCTGCACTTCGTCCATCGTACACCTGTGTGCCATCAGCCTGGACAGGTACTGGTCCATTGTCAAGGCGGTAGAGTACAACCTCAAGAGGACTCCTGGTAGGATCAAGGCGGCCATCGTCACCGTCTGGCTCATCTCGGCCATCATCTCCTTCCCTCCCCTGATTTCCACCTCCCGGCCAGTGGAGGACCAGCTCCGACCCTCTTGCCGCATCAACGACGACACCTGGTACATCCTGCTTTCATGCGGCGCCTCTTTCTTCGCCCCCTGCCTCATCATGCTCCTGGTCTACCTCCGCATCTACCGGGTGGCCAAGCACCGGACCCGGAGCCTGTCGGTGAAGAGAAACGGCCCGGATGGCTCCTCGCAGACCGAGGAGGTTCCCAGCCGGCCCGCCTCCCTCAAGCAGCAAGGGGACGTAGGGAGTGCTGCTACCGGCAGCAGCGGCGGCGGCGGGGCTGCAGGAGGAGAGCGCCAGAATGGCCACTACTGCTCGGCCGCTGAGCAAACCGAGCCCGAGGACAGCTCCGCTTCCAAGACCCCCCCTTCCAGGAAGGAAGCTTCCAAGAAAGACTCGGGCCTGAGCCGCCAGCGCCTGTCCCGCTCCAGCAGCCGCTCTTTCGATGTGTTCTCCACCCGGCGGAGGCGGCGAGGCAGCCGAATGTCCAGGAGCAAGGCCTCCCAGGCCAGAGAGAAACGCTTCACCTTCGTGCTGGCCGTGGTCATGGGGGTCTTCGTGCTGTGCTGGCTCCCTTTCTTTTTCAGCTACAGCCTGTACGGTATCTGCCGGGAGCTGTGCGAGATCCCAGAGACCCTCTTCAAATTCTTTTTCTGGATTGGTTACTGCAACAGCTCCCTCAACCCTGTCATCTACACCATCTTCAACCAGGACTTCAGGAGAGCTTTCCACAAAGTCCTCTTCAAACCCAAGAAAAGGACATTCTAGTTCAGCCTCTCTCCAAACCCCCCCACCCCCACCCCTTCTTCAAACTGCTGTCCCCAGTCTCTGGGTCTGAACATGTATGTAATCTATATGCTGTTATGTGTGGATGTAGGAAAATGCGTATGTGTCATAAAAGTTGAAGTCTCCATATCCTACCAGATCACAGGGCTTGCTCTCCCATGGGAGAGAGAGAGGACTGGCGGTGGTTTGTTTGTTGTCCAACGGGAACTCCACTCTGTACACTGACTGTGGCTAGCCAGCTAATAGTCAGTTGAGGAGATCTTCTGAATCCTCTTTATTTTTACTGGTGGTGGTTTAATACTATGGTCACCAAGCCTCAGGCCAGGGAAGAGGATGAGAAGAAGAGTCCTTCCTGGTAACCTCAGCTGGTGCTGGAATTGAACCCATGCGTCACTCTGATTTGCAAACTGTGTCATATAAATATATGTATAGATGGAGCATATTCTATCTCCATATATATATATGTATAAATACTGATTGTTTGGTTTGATTATATATGATGATGGTTCAATTTTATATGTAATCCAACCAGCCAAATGTGAAAGAGTTAAATTCTAACTAACATTTAGTTCCGATATTTTCTTGTGCCTATGTGTTTCGCAGTTACAATATGTAATATTTAGCTTTCTTCCTTCCCCCATTCAAAATCATGCCTGGCAACATGACACAGTTTAAATTTTTTATCATCAAATATGTGGATTGATTTAATTTTTATTGTTGATCGTCATCACTGGATTCTTTGTGAGACATTGCACCTTCAGAAACACTTAACCGTCAGATTTGAATTCAACAATTTGTATGTGATCTGGAGTGAAAACAAAAATCTGTAATAAAAAAAGGCAATTCTGTGGTCAGAAGTTTGCTGTGCAGCACAATGTTAACCCAAGGTTTCCTCCTCTGATGCTGGGTGTTTCCAACATTTTGTTTCGTTTTCTGAATCTCAATGCTCAATTTCATTAATTCTTCCCATTTGCAGCTCATGAATCTAAAGTAATCCTGGTAGAGTTCTGTTTTTTTTCTTGCAAAATCAGACATGCCACCATATTATGTTGTAATCTCTTCCCAATGGTGTTTCTTCATCTATTAGGCTGCAGTTGTGAGAGAAATGCTCTGGTACATCTGACAGCTTTAGCTGATGCCTGCATATTTGGCCATCCTATTGTTAAATTTGTGTTGGAACAGGCATTGTGATTGGTGGAGCTAACACGGAGTCTGCCTGGATTTAACTCCCAAGAAAATAAGGACCTTGTGATACTGTGCAAAAGATTGCCAAGTAGGAGAAAGATATGATGGAAGAGAATTTTGGAAGATCAGAATTTTATCTTCCATCCAGAAGATGAAATCTATACATGAAAGAGGATAAATCAAAGCAAAATTGTTAGAAACTATGGTCCTGATGCGTACCAGTGAAACAGAGGAGTGGGTGAGAATAATTGGGTCCATAGGAAATTCGAGAAACCTATGAATTCAGTGGTTTTTCCAAATCTATTGGCAGGATTCATTGTCATTTTACTTTATCCCCGGTAACTGGTGGGCCCTTGTAACAGAAGAGTCATGGAGGCAGGGCTGCTTATTATCCTGACACTGAGTTAAGGGGGTGGGAGCAGAGACAGTTAATGTCTTGTGGGAGGAGGTTAGTTGTTTAGAACAAAAGGTTAATCTGGAATGCTGCAACTCTCATCACACGAACAGCCCTGTTAAAAAATAAAATTGCTTACACTTCTGGATTTGATTCTTCTCATCGCCCTTCCTCTGAGGATACCAGTTCGTCCTAGCCTTAGGGAAACCATGAGATGTTAAATTCAAATCCTGTCAAAATATCAGGATTAGCGCCTCAGTACCATTTTAATAATGTATCTGCCACCAGAGCACGATCTCAAACGTGCTGCAGTTAACTAGAAACAAGGCAGGTGGACTGTTGATATTGAAACTTTGACTATTTATCAGCCTCACACAACAACTACCCATGGTAGATGGATACCCATGGGGTATCTGATGCCACCCAATATTTCGAGGAGCGAGTGGTCAGTCTTTAGGGCTACCATCTTAGAGACAGTGGAAGTAGTCAATCATGAATCTTTCAAATAGAAATTTGACTGTTGTTCAGAAAATAACATTTTTGGATACAGTATGTGGGCGATTTATGGACATGTGGAATGTTAAGCAGGTTTGAGAGGGTACTTTCTGAAGTTCTACACCACTAAGGCTGTCCTTGCTTCACGGCTGACAATAACCTTACAGTTTGAGATTCATTAATGTGATTAGTCAAAAACGCCACCGATTGCAGCACAGGAGAGTGTAAAACGAGATGCTAAGTCCTTAGAGAT